TTCAAAAGCTGCACCGTCGAAAGCTCTACAAAAGCTGTATAAACAAATTCCTATTGGAAGGCAAAACAGTCTTCCAAACTTATTTTTTATTACGCACAATATCGTGAGAAGTAGTACTACCATGTAGGTTTTTCATTTTGAGTATGGCAGAAACCATTAGCACAAGTCAATAGGGATTTGTTATTGCAGTTTTTGTAGAGCTTTTCACGACGCATCTTTTAAAGAAAAATTCAAAATTTTATCGTTTACCTAAGCGAAGATATAGACGAATAAAAAAATGTTGCACACCCCGAAGATGACCAGGAAAATTTAAAAAAATAGTACATGTCAGTGTTGTTACAGTTTCTCATCCATAGTACAACCTATAGACCTCAAACTTTGTAATTATGTAGTACTATATATGTACAAAAATCTACCAAAGTTTCAACGAATTTGCTTTTGTAGAATGCGAGAACGATGAATTTTAAAATCGTTTCAGAACTTCCGAAACACCCTTTATATAAACATCGACTTCATGTTATCATTATCATCTGATATCTATAGGCTAAATTCAAGGCGAATGATGATTCAACATAATTAAAAACAAAAAACTAATTTTCTAAAAGGATTAGAATCCTATACACATGAAAGCAGAAGATATCAGTTTTTCTACACTGTAGCTCTTTTTGATTTGAATGTGCATAAATAAACATATTTTTAAATTCTTAAAATTGCATATATGAACTAAAAAAATTGTTACACTCTTATGGTTCATGTTTTTATAATGCTTTTAAAGGGAATTCAGCTCAAATTACATGTTCAGATAAATATTTTCCACTATTGAAAGTAAATGAAACAGTAGGATTTTGACTGATAATATTGGAAATTCTGATTATTAGTATGAAAGATCTAATTACCAGGAACAAGGATCAATAAAAGCTATCAAAAAAGACCGGATATAAAATTCAAGATATTTAATATCTGTCCCCAGATCCTATGCATGTATATCCAAGATCTTATGGAACTGTATCCAAGATCTTACGAATCTGTATCTAAGATCTAATTATAGATCTTGAAAACAAGATAATATGATTATCTTGTTCCTAAATTTTCAAGATCTGTTCACATTTCTGTACCTTGTATCTTGACCAACGCCTTACTTACAAGATGTTCGACTAGGATATACATATACCACGAGTTGGTTTTTCAAAAAAAACTAATTAAATTTATATTTAAAGCAAATAGAAAAATATAATGGTTATACATATTTCATGATGACACTTAGATTTATCTAAAATTAAAATGTTATATTTAGTTCATCTGATCTATGCACGCTTTCCATTCGTAAGTACATGTGTTCGAATCTTCACTTCTGTAAAAATATCCGATAGGTATCGAATGCTCGGAAAAAAAACAGATGCAGAGAGCAAAATTTTTTTGAAATTTTATAAAAACGCTCGACTGCTTGGGTCACATGGTCAATCATCACCACGTTATAGGTTTGTTATTTTAATAAATTATCTTTTTTTTTTAATTATTTTATATTTCTAGTCAAACATCTCCTCAATATTCCCCTCAATCTCCAGCATCATCAACAATATCTTCATCAATTTCATCTCCACGTACACATGATGATGATAATTTATATGGCAATGGAGATCTTATGTATTAAAAAACAGAATATACTTTATATATTTGTTTATTGCAAAAAAAGGAGTCAAGCTAAAGTTTTTTTTTCTCATTGATTAAAAATAAAAGATGACATTTTCCTTGTAAACATTTTTCTTTTTCTTCCAGAAAAAAATTCTATTGGAAATAAATAACATTAGAAAAGATCTTATTACAGTTTAGATCAACAAATACAAATCATTGAATAGAATGTCAATAAAAAACATCTGAGTAAATGCGTAGAAAAACGAGAGAAAGAAAGAAAAATGAATAACTATGTATATATTTATGATGAGAAGGTCGTCGGTCAAAGAGGAAGAGAAATGAGAAAAAAAATGTGATGAAGCGTTATCTATTGATACGTGTTGAAATTTTATTTATTATTACAAAACGAACAGTTATTTTTTTGTCGTAAGTGAATAAATGGGAAACGATACACGTTTTATTGAAGCTGAAGATTTACCATTTCGTTTAATTGATATTCCAGTTGGTTCAGCTCCTTCACCACCTTCATCACCAACTATTCGAAAGTCTCAAACAATAAACAAACGTCACGCTCCACCAATTCCACCACCACGTGTTGATGGATATGATGTATCTCCATCGCTTCTTCCTCCACCAGTTGTTCCAAAACGTTTTGATCAACCAGTAATTCGTGTACTTCCAAGATCTGATCTTCTTCAATCACATTCGAATAATATTACTACACAATATTCATCAAACAAAATAAATTGTCATCGAAAAAAAGTTCACAAACCAAAATTAGCATGTTGTATTATTTCTTAACTCATTTTTTTTTCATATTTTATTAATTCTTTCCCAGTGAAAAAAGGTTAGATTATACCAGATTATGGTGGATTATAATGGATTTTTGTGCAACAAAATCAAAATTATAATCGATTGAAATCTTCTAAAATCAACGATAATATGATTTTTAATCAAAAATAATCTTCTAAATCAAGTATAGTTTTGATTAAAATCAATTATTTTTGATTAAAATCATAAGTTGTTGATTGTGACATGATTTTAATCAAGATCATACTTGATTTTAGAAGATTATTTTTGTTTAAAAGTTAAATTATCGTTGATTTTACAAGATTTCAATCGATTATAATTTTGATTTTGTTGCACAAAAATCCATTATAATCTACCATAATCTAAAATTTTTCACTGGGTTCAAGGAAACTTTTTTGTCTTTTATAATAAAAGAAAATCAATTTATCATTTTCATTCCACTAAAAATCAAATGATACTATTTTATAATCAAAGAAAAATAATCAAAAACGACAAATCTATTTCTCCTCTAGAAACTTAATCCCTTCTATTACTTTTTTTTATAATGCTCAGATTGTCTTACACCTGAATCAATAGAACATATTATTAAAGTTAATCCAGTATAAGAAGTAAAATCTTCTCACCTTAAAATACTTTCGCCATCGAATAGATTTATTTCTCAAATCACTTGTTATTAAGCACACAGAGGGTGTGGATGTTGCTGGCTGTGGGTATGAGTATGAATGTGGGTGTCGATCTTCTACTCACGCACACCCATGTCCACATCCACATCCACCCATAGGTATTTGGCATAAATTTTTATTTTCATATCTTTCAAAATTCATTGGATGTTATAAAACTGCATGGAATAGACTCTTTAGTTATGACAAGAGGTCTAAGTCTTGTCACTTTTCAATGAAAACTATTTACATTTAAAAGGCAGCTCATTTGTGAAGATGATTCGGTTACGAGAATCTCTATGTAAAGAATTAATTAACTTCTTTTCAGAAACATTCCAATTTTGCTAGTACCACATGACTGAATTACGCTCTCGAATGACTAAATCGTTTTTTATTTGCTAGAATATAGAAATATCGTCTTTTTTTTCATAAATTATTGTTTTCGACATATGTCCTGATAAGTAAAGAGATTGTACATAAAATCCTTTTTCTTGATTGGTAAAAAATGATCATTTTTAAATGTATGATTCTATCGCGACACCTTTTTCTTTCACAAAAACTTTTGCTTTATGTTTCAAATTTTGTTTTTTCCTATATCCCCCTGGACAAAAATAGTTCGGCAAAGTATTTTCAATAAATTATTACTATAAATTAACCTTTTTGAAAAAGTAAGGATATATTCGGATAGCCCGAAGAGTTCTCTGCAAAACTATATATAAACATTTTGGATTGCAATTCTCCTTAAAAAACAAATTCACGTACAATAAAGACACCCTCATGTTTAGATTTCCAAAAAAAAAAAATATTTTTTTAATTTTCATATATTTTTTCAATTTTTTTTTCAATATAGAAACAATTTATTACAAAAATAACTGCATAATATACTAATGTTGAAAGTCGAGTAACCGTTGTCTTCTTTCTTTTCGAATGTTTTACATGTGACCATTCTTTGACTTCTTGTTTTTCTTTCTATTCTCTCGAGAATACAGTTTAGTTACATACATTAGTTTATAACCTAGTGTTATGGATACCTATCCACCAGTTAGTCCGGATCTAAATGCTGTTGAGAGTGTATGGCCATGGATGAATCGGTATGTTCAAAGAAATCATCCACGCTCTCAACAGCATTTAGAAAGATTAGTTGAACAAGCATGAAATGCAATTCCTCAAAATGCTATACGTGGATATATTAATCACATATTGATTATTTGTAATCAAATCATATCTAATAATGGCTGGGAAAGTATAGGATGATAGAGACTTTGATGTACTCGTATATTATGCAGTTATTTTTGTAA